TTGATCAACAATAGAACATTTCCTAGTCTGGCTCTATTTTAGCCAAGCCATTATTTACTGGATAAATTTAGCGTCCACTGCCAAATTTCCCAGGGATATGGGCTTTCTGGGATCAAAGATGCACCTTATTTACATCTTTAAATCATTATCTGAGGCAAATAATATCTTTTTCTCAATTTTCCTAAACCTGAGTCTATTAAAGGTTAGCACAGGCTAAAATAATATCAAAAGATTATGAATGTAGGTTAACATAACATAGCATTCAGATAATCAAATATTAACACCCTTGTACCTCAAGGCTTATAGAACAACTGGGTACTCAATCTGACATAGAAAGGAGAGGAAATTAGCTTTTATTTTCAGATAGATGGCTTCTGCATTCGTTTTCTCTCCTACTCTTTCAAATCTATTTATTTAATTTATTTCTCACATTTGCCAGACTGTTGTGCACAGAAAATTTGTAATAGCTTTCTCCAAGTTCTCTATGCACTTCTTCTGATAGTTTTTCGGCTATTTTAAGACCCATTTAAGAAATACAATGGTTGTATGATATTGGCATTTTACATTTTGTGGTCCTTCCTAGTACTGGTTCCATTGATGTCCTGCCAGACACCAAGCAACCAGTCCTTTCTTTTCAAGATGGTTGATCATCTCTAATCAGAACTCTGCCCTGTACTGCATTCAGCCTGACCAAGTACCATTTTCTTTGAGGTTATATGTATTTTGAGTCACTAGTATTTTCTCCCAAATCAAATGGTACTTCTTTTATCACAGTGGCATCCTACACCTGTGTCTTTGAAAGTAAGCCTTGTGGGTGTCTGTGGGATTTTCTCCCAAGTGAGAGATTGTGGGTTGGGTCTACAAGTAACTAGGTTTACAAAAATAAAACAATCTGTTATCCTGAGTCCCTGTTTATCTCAACTTCTGTTTTTTTCCTTATTTTTCTGGGTTGAACTTAAAGTGAAAACTTGACCTCTGTAAAATGTCTGTCCGTCTGTCACATTGCCATGCTGGGGAAACCTGCACTTCCCAAAGTTATGTCAGAACGTCAAAATTTTGAGTTTTTGTGCATAATGAATGGGGGTGTTGGTGATGGGGGAACCATCTGCTCTTCCACCTCAGGAAACAAAATGGGCCAGATTCAGTTTTCACTAGCTTTGTCTTAAAATCACTTAGTGTGAAGAGGGAAATTGGGATTAACAAATTTAAACCTCTTGATTTTTGATAAAGAAGAAATAATTATGGTTTGGTCCAGTAGGTATTTATTATAGACACCAGTTAGGAAAAAGTTCTTAGTTCAGTTTGTCAACAATAAGCAATGTAAATGCAAGAATATTTTGGAGTGGCCCAAAAGTAAATTCAACAACAATTTTGCTCAGGGAGTATTTACTGTCATTTACAATTGCACTGCTGTTGATCTCAGCTTTCCATCTCAAAAGTTGGAACATTACCTCATATAGTTTGGTCTTGTCCTATTACTGCTACAGTTTAGGCTAATGTTAACAGTTAATATGACTTTAATCATTCTTTGTGAAAGTTGCTTGCGCTTGAATATAACTAAAATTTATCAAAATATTAAAAACCATGTCTTTTTCAAGCTTAAAAGAATTATTATTTAACAGTGGAAGGAGACATTTATCCCTGATTTGCAGCAATGGATTATTAATACATGCTGTTTGTCAACATTTAGATTAGGGTTTTCCCCCCCCAATGTATGGGCAAGGAAGAAGACTTCTGAGCAATGTGGAGAAAGTTTTTGAAGTTCTGTTCATAACATTTGCTAACCTCTCATTTTTTCCCTAAAAGATTATGAAGTTTGAGGTTATAAACTTTTCTTAATTAGTTCAGTGTAACAAAATGTATGTACATTTTAAAACATTTTTTAAATACCCTTGCTTAAAACACAAGATAATAGAGGGTGGTGGGAATTGTTAGATGTTGGACTGCAGGCCTGTGCCTTCTTCCAAAGACAGAAACAATGTTTGATCTGTGAATTTTGGTCTGAACCTGGAGCAGGAGGATCTCACTACAGCAACTCACACTCACTCACTCAAGATTCCGCAGCGCACTCTTCGTGAAGGTGCCTTTGAAGGTCACTCAGAAGCTGAAGTTGGTTCAGAGAATGGTCTATAAATGTAATTAATAATACTTTTCCTAACTGGGTTTTCTTTTCCTCTCCACTATAAATGTTCATGCTTTTTCCATCTCACAGAAGGTACTTTTTTCCTCCCTCAAATTCTCCTCGCCTTAAAACGTTTTTGTTAAACCGCAGTATATCGCTATTTCTCTTACACTCTGCTTTTTAAAGACCGATGTTTCCTTCCACGCTCTGCCCAAGGAAAACCTCCGCACCATTTTTCTCAAACGTTGCAAGTTTTTTTTTACTCCTTAAAACTTTTGCTTGGAGAACCTTTTTTTTTTCTTCTTTTTTTTGGTAAGGGCCGGGAAGAAACTTTTGAGGGAAGGGGCGCACCGGCTTCTTTGGCTCAAATGAGTCTGGGGACAATCCCAAAACCACTCGAAGCCCTCTGGAACCTCCCCAGGAGCGCCGGGAACT